CACAAGGCCTATTTTCCTGCCTATTTCCCGGTGAAACCGGCGTGGCTGGAAAAGGACGGGGGTGATGTCAAAAGATTTTCGCAAAATACAAAATGGCTGGGGGTTTTTGTATTTTGCGAAAACTCGCCAAACATTGTCGAAATGTTAGTTTTTATTTGAGAAGATGTACGGAAAGGCTTTGGATTGTATTTAAAATTTTGTTTTTTTGAGTAGGCATCAAAAGATTCGATCAAATTAAAGAATTTTCGCAAAATACAAAAAGGCTGGGGGTTTTTCGATTTTTGCGAAAACTCGCGAAACATTGTCGAAATGTTAGTTTTTATTTGAGAAAATGTACGGAAAAGCTTTGGACTGTATTTAAAATCTTGTCAATTGAGTAGGCATCAAAAGATTCGATCCAATTAAAGAATTTTCGCAAAATACAAAATGGCTGGGGGTTTTTGTATTTTGCGAAAACTCGCCCAACCGATAAAATTCAATCACATGGAATGTCACCAGATTGGCACAAATAGGCACCCAGGAAGTAGAACAAAAGAAAAATGTCATTATGAATGAGAAGAGAGAAGTCTTCACGCGTTGATGACACAAATAATGGGCGTCCTGCTAATTTCTGTTAATTAAAATAAGAAGTGAGTCATTGTCTGGCGCCAAAGAAAATGCATGCACCTTTTTGTTATTGGTTCCTGCTACACTATCAAAAAAACCCAAAACCTCTTTCTAAAGCCTTACCGTACATTTATTCAAATAAAAACTAACATTTCGACAATGTTTGGCGAGTTTTCGCAAAATACAAAAACCCCCAGCCATTTTGTATTTTGCGAAAATCTTTTGACATCACCCCCGTCCTTTTCCAGCCACGCCGGTTTCACCGGGAAATAGGCAGGAAAATAGGCCTTGTGGATAAAGGCGTAAATTACCCCTAAAACAACACAGAACACGCAGAATGTTGGGTATTTACCAATTACCAATTAGCAAGCACCGGGATGCTTACTGTTATCGTCTTTCGCTGGAATGGGCAATTCACAATTAGGCCGTTCATGGCCTTGGTGTGGTTGGTTTTTGAACCATTTTCCAAAATGTGTCCATGAGTTATCTAACGTTAAATGGGACATGAACTAGGCTATTTGCATGAACAGAGTCGCCCTGAATATGAATTGCTTGTTTTCGGTCGTTGATCTGGGCAAATAAAGTTTTTAGAATCAGTTTTCGCATTTTACAAAATACCACCTCGAAACTTGTATTTTGCGAAATTTCGCATTTTCGCATTATGCGAAAATTTTCGCAAAATACAATAAGCCAAATTAGCCTGCGTGCAGACTCTGTTGACAAAATTGAAAACAGGAGAAAAGGTAGAGACAATTTTCTTGTTCACAGGTTCCTCAGAATCAAGGAACCGAAATTGATTGGTTGGGGGAATTTCAATTGCTTTTTTTCAGTTTTCAGAGTGGCGCCTTCGAGTAGAAGTATAAATGAATGGTATTAGGATAATAGAATAGGTCTGTTTGTTCTTTTGAGCAATTAAAATTACAGAAAAACATTGCACGCTAATTGAGTTGTTGTTATAGTGCTTAGAATAAAATGTTGATGTCAGCGAACAAGAAAAGCGGCTCTATTACGCAGACTCTATTTTCTCTCCTCTTTTAAATTTCCGAGTCTGCACGCAGGCCAAGCAAACTCGGATTCAGACCTTCTTCTTATAGTGCACGTGATGTGAATTATTTAGTTATATGCATCGGGTTCATTGAACAAGAATACAACAAGCGGGTCAACGAATCGCTCAAATTCTACAATAAAATCTCAATGAGGAAAGTTCTTATCGGTTTGTCACTGGAGACTACATTTCAAATGGCTTTACCGCACCATGGAAAGCTCTGAAAAAGCATTTTTCCAGTTTTTTAGGAAGATTTTGTTTGGGACAATAACATGACAATAGCATGAGACAACTTCTCCCCGAGCTCGTCGTGAAGCTCGCTTCACCCATGCTTCACCCAATAACTGTCCTCGGTCTTCCACGAGTGCCAAAGGTTCCCGGACACTGAATTAGTGCATTCAGGTTTTCATTTACTACTCAGCCCCCCCCCCCACTGTTTCGCTATGCTTTAGCTGCAGGGCCGTCAGAAGCGGGGAGCTGCCCCCCCCCAAATAATTGTCATGCTGTACTATATTTCCACCATAATAGCGTACTAAATGGGAAGCAATACAATAGACACCCCCCAACATGAATTTCGTTCTGACGGCACTGAGATGAGCAGGAAAGGAGGCCCTTGTTCTCCCTTGCCACTGCCCCCCTCCCCTCACAAGACAACAGGCATGAATGAATCATTTGAAGTTGAGAGAAACTTCTGAAACTCACACTTATCAGTGATTCGAGGCGAGACTGATGCACAGCGCTTAGTGCTACATCGGAATTCCTCCAGGCACCACGTGCTATGATCTGTGGGATCTTATTAAACAATGTTGTGTACCTCCTGAGGGCAATGGCCAAAGCTTTCCTTTCGACGCGGATTTCGGATATTCCCTGAAATAATATCATGTCGAATAATTCAATATATTATATGATTCGCCAGATGGTTCATAAGATTATATTGATATTGATAACATTTTATTTATTTGAAATACAGAATATTTCACTTAGTAGAAATGACCAAGAACTGTAATCGATAATGAGAGGTATTAGAGTAAAGAGTAAGGTGAGAATAGCTGCACCTAAAGACAGTATATTTCTTGCACTTAAAAACATTCAGCATTATAATTGCAAGAAAGAGCGGAAAGAGTCATATAGTTTCGCGTTTTCATTAAATCCTGAAAGAACACTACACTCCTTGGCAAAATTGTTGGAAGACCTACACAAAATCTTCACAGCTTTGGTTGGACGCATAGACACTTTTAGTGATGGAGTCGATATTGCATGGAGGAGAGGGAAGAACTTAGGTAGCTAGCTAAAAAGAACGTTGATGGCTTAGGTAGCTAGCTAAATCCTAGGGCTGTTAACTTTGAAATTTTGTGGTGTTCCGACTACTTTTTAGCGAGAAATGTATATATCTTTAACAGGATGATAATGACAAGAAAAGGATATTTCTTATTAAATTTTCTTCTATTCTGTAGTGCATTTCATCGTCATATGTACTTATATTAGAAAGATTTTCTGAAAGATTTTAATAATGCTTGAATGACAATTAAAAGTACATTTGAAAACGCCTGGGGAGTGAAAATTCAGAGTTTTATTGGCGTTTGGGGTGGGGGAGGGCCCATTTGGAAATTGAGAGTACCGAACTATATGGGAAACACTCTTCAGACCACGAAAAAGCAATGTTTTGTAAAAAAATGTCCATAAAGAGCATACCTTAGAAAAACATTGCAGTAATTGAAATTTGGGTAAAATTTAACAATAACAATAAGCGAAAAGGGGTCGATCAAATTGGCAGTAGATCAATAAGGAAATCACTGTTAATCAATCCAATATGATGATTAATCAATAAGATTAATAAAGAAGCAAAATGATCAACTTGGATATCAAGATAAATCAAAGAGGATTTTCAAGATAAACAGGAATGTTGTTTGCGCATATATTTAATAAACCACAATTTATTCATGACGAAGTTCAAGGATACAAAAAAATACCAACCGATTCACATTCCAATGTCCAAATATGAAAAAGATTGATGAGTACGACTTGTGATGGATACTGCAAGAAGAAAAGATATCTATTGTTATCTCCATCTTTTAAGAGGCTTTTGAAAATAATGAGAATAACTGATTTATTTGATACCGATAAACAGGATAGCGTCAAGAACATTTAAGTCTATTAGTTAACAATTTGATAAAACTTCCAACCCTATTTGATAAACGCAAGGACTAATAAACGAGACAGTAAAACGATAATAACACATTAGCTATGTTTTCATTCTAAGAAAATAAGTGATCTACCCATTTCGGTGTGATAATTTAATTCAGACATTGAGGTTTCTCTCAAATTTCCTTCAATGCGATTTATCTCCCGCTTTGGAGCTTGCAAAAATGAATCTGATCGCGCTAACAAATTTTGTTTCACTGTTCCTTCATCAAGAAAACAAGAAATCTCGAGAACTAAATCGAATCGATATTTTAAAGATCTAAAAGAATCGCCAGATGTCTTTATGAATTTCGAATCTCGAATAAAATCTGATTCTAAAAAGTGAGACTGTGAAAAGATTAAATACCTTAAATGTCCAGTCTTCAATGGACATCCCATTTTCGATGTCAACACGGCATTGCTGCATCAAATTTTTCAGTGTAGACTTAGTTTGACTGAGCAACGATTTTAGCCAGCATTCGACACCATTTTCAAGACGAACCTGTCGTTCAAGGAATACAATAATGATTTATTGCCAAACAATTGAATATTTTCACAACAAAGAGAATAAAGCAAAAAGAGTTAAAAACTTTGGCCCTCAAGTCCCTCAATGACTTAGTTTCACAATACCTGGTGAACCGTTTTCAAAAATGTTATCGTAATGCCAACATGATATTCAGACAGATCTTAGCTCGCCAACAAAATATCAGCTGGGCAAAAATTTCAAATGGGCAAAAAGTTTTTTTTCTTCCGATGCTGAAAACTTTAGAATAACCTCCCCTGGATCTACGACGGCCTCCTCCCAAAATGATTATTAGGAACTTTAAGTTGTATGCCTTTTCTGTGTAAGATATTTTCAATGTAGATGAAAAAGTTCAATGTCTCAGTTTAACGAGGGCCTCAATGATCCAATTGTCGTACAAAACTGCAGATGTCAAGGAAACTATAAATCAGAAGATATGAATTAAAAATGATATTTATCTCAAATGTGTCTGAGAGAACATGGGTGTAAGTGCATGTGAAATCGCCTTAGATAAACCTTTTAGCATATCTCTGAATTCACGCATGGATCAATTATAAGCTGATCCGCCCTCCTCCCAGAATACATTGATTAACTTTAATCAGTTGTTTTTTCATTTTAATCTGCTATTTTAGAGCTATTTCGCTTGCGCACATTGCTTTGGAAACAATAATTTATAGCAACTGTTGTTGGCATCTGTTGGAAATTGGCATTTGTAGTTCCGAAAGAGTAAGTGTTGCAATTAAAAATGCTAGGTCAATTTTTGGATGGGCTGAACAAGAAACTGATAGGCGTAAGATTTC